GCATATTTGACTAATCACTCCCCTTTCAAACTGTGTTTTTTATTTTTGTACTGACCTATAGTACACATTGGAAGGATTTCTTAACTTATTTTATATTGTAGTGATCACTAATTAACGGGGTTACATAATTCAATCCAGGAACTACAGGTTGGGGGTATTGTTTCCGCCCGGACATATATGTTGACGGTACCTCCGGTGTGTGTGTCCCTTTCACTTTCTCTTAGTCTTCTCGGCTCGACCCGACAGCATGTGCATCTCTGCTGCTCAATAAAGTACAGATTTGCACCTTCGATGCACCGCCTCTGACTCCCTTCTCTCGGCACTACATTGGTGACCCTGACATAAGTCTCGCGAAGGTTCCGAGACTGAACCGAACACGGCAGAAAACTCTTGTTTTTCTCGAAATGCCGGAGATTTTTGGAGACCTCCGTGGCTGCCACGTGCGCCCGGACTGAGGCTCGGTGCGCCCCACGGAATGGCTGGGAACGTCGCTCACCATTCCCGCTTCGTCTCGGCGCTGGAGGGCAGCAAGCCTTCCTGCTACGGGGAGACGATGCACGACCTGCTAGGTATGGAGGGACCCGACTTCTGCCTCGTGGAGCTGGTTCTTCGGGACATGCGGTTGCATGTCCAGGCTGCGCTAGCTGACTCGGCTGGTGTTGAGCCCCGCGCTTTGGCCGAAGATGCTGGCCGGTTCCTCCTGGCCGCCCCGCGATTTACCCCTGAGGTGCTTGCCACTGCACGCTGCAGCACCTTCCCTGGTGGGGGCACGCCGCCTAGCAGAGGCTCCGGGGCCGACGACGACGACAGCGACTACCGGCCGTCGAGGACGGCTAGCCACGACTGCTAACGACAGCTAGCCACGACAGCTAGCCACGACAGCTAACGGCTAGCTGCTACCAACGGCTAGCGACGTCTGCTAGCTACGGCTGACGGTGACTAGCAGCTACCAGCGGCTCTCGACATCCGACTGTTTTTTTTGTTGTTTTTTTTTTTTGTGGTGCCTGAGAGGAGGTTCGATCGCGTCTGGTCGGCCTCGTGTGGATCCTCTCACAATTTCGCCCACCTGTTTTTGTTCGTGGACGGGACGACCCTTTGAGCTTTTTCTGGTGCCTGAGAGGAGGTTCGACCATGTCTGGTCGGCCTCGTGTGGACCCTCTCGCTGTTTCACCACCTCGACGGCGGCTTCGGACGTCACACACGCCTGCTTCGGCCCGTGGGTGGCGCGCTTCTGGACCCCGTCTCGCCTCTTCCCTCGCCTCGGCGGTTTCGAACGTCGCCCATGCCTTCATCGGCCCGTGGGTGGCGCGCTTCGGGACCCTGCCTGGCCTCACCTCTAACCGCGGCTCACGGTTCGCCTCGTCCCCTGTCCACGGCTCCCTCCTCCCGGGGACACGGCTCCTTCCTCCCGAGGACTTCGAGGACTGAGCGGACGTGATCTCTCTCAGTCCCCCAGGAGAGAGCTCTCCCTCTCCTTACTGTTGAAACAGCTTCTAATCTCCGTTAGCTCCGAGCTAGCACCAGATGCTAACAACAACCCACGTAACTCTCTCAGTCTCTCTCTCTGTCCCTCTGTCTCTCTCTCTATTTCTCTCTCTCAGTCTCTCAAAGTCCGACAGGAAAGAGCTCTCCCTCTCCTTATTGTTGAAACAGCTACTAATCTCCGTTAGCTCCGAGCTAGCACCAGATGCTAACAACAACCCACGTAACTCTCTCAGTCTCTCTCTCTGTCCCTCTGTCTCTCTCTCTCTCTATTTCTCTCTCTCTCTCAATCTCTCAAAGTCCGACAGGAAAGAGCTCTCCCTCTCCTTATTGTTGAAACAGCTACTAATCTCCGTTAGCTCCGAGTTAGCACCAAATGCTAACAACAACCCCCGTAACTCTCTGTCTCTCTCTCTCTGTCTCTCTCTCTTTCTATCTCTCTCTCACAAAATGCACTCGTGCCACACACACACAGACGCTCCTCCGTGACGAGGACCGCTTGTGTAAAAAATAAACACATTTGAAAAGTGGGGGGGACACAAACGGGATTTTGAAAAGTGGGGGGGACATGTCCCCCCTGTCCCCAGTGGAAATTACGCCCATGGCTGATACATATCCCCAGTTCCCCTTAAGTGAATATGTGTCAGTCTGAATTGACGCTGTTTGGCATCACAACGCTGTTATGAAAGTTTCTCTGGTATAACATGGGTGATGTTAGCATAGCAACCAAAGCTAAACTGACTACTTGCTAAGCCGTTTTCTACAGGCACATTTTACCGGCGTATTTTTCATTATGATTCTACTTGTGATAGTCGGACATGACAACCTGTGCAGCCCATGTATTGATTCCATCCGATAGCTGCTATAATAACAAACAAAACGTCTGCCTGCTCTCCACAATGATCAATAACAGCGAACGGATGGTCAAAGTAAGGTACAAATAAACAGAATCACAAGAAGCCTGGTTAGTGTTGCCTGACTTTATAAAGTGTGTTTTTTTTATAAGTGTGTGGTTGCCTTCTAGTCACTTTGCTCAGCGCTACTGCTTGTAGGCAGGCATGACGAGACTCTTCAGTCGACCCATGTTCAGGGGAGGTGGGTTTAGTTTCCTGCACGCCTCGACGTAAGAGAGACGTAAGCGACGCCGCGTCATAGCTCCGAAGCTCTTGCCTCTAGACCGACAATTTTTTGGAGCTGGAAGTGAACCGCATTCCGGATCTATGACGCGGCGCCGCTGCGGTGTGAACAGGAAAAACCGGCGCTTTTCCGAGCCGGAGCTGGAAAAGCGCCGGTGTGAAAGGGGCATTATCAGCCTGCAGCCAGGGAGGAGAAATCAGCTGAGCTGCCTGCTCCCTGCACACAGATGTGTGTGTGAGGAAGTCCGTGGATTGGTCAATTTGGAGCAATCAGCGGGGGCTTAACGTAACGGCTCCGTGGACGTAACGTAACGGCTCCACGGATTGGTCCATTTCGTTCCGGGTGCGGCTTGACATCATGCCGTCCCGGAAGAATCAAATGGACAATGACGTATCTCCAACGAGGCGTTTTGGGGAGGTATTTTCTGTGTTAGTTTTACTCGCTATAGGGTGTACTTTGAGGGTTTTGACTCTGCACACCGTTTACATGCATAAAAACCTTCATAACACACAAGGGGACGGGTAATAACCGGAAAAGCATGACACCTCTCCTTTAAACTTTAAAAGAACAAGGCAACAGTTTCAGAGTTGGTTGCCTGTAGCTGTTTCCAGTCAGTACGAGCTTACGCTAAGCCAAGCTAAACTGTATATTTCACAAGTATGTATGAAAATTGAGTAATTAACAAAAGTGAATGACCAAATTTCCCTGAAATTGTTGAACAATTCATTTTACCTGAGCGTGAAATTGTGTTGATGGTGTGAAATCCATGGGAATCAAATCCAAATTGTATTCAGCAAAATAAAAAAACAACTGAAGCCAGTCCTGTATTGACTAATTCCTCTGTAATAAAACATCTGATTTGACTGGTTGAAAAATAAAGATGATCACCAAGACCAACACTAAATTCCTTCATCTTCCATAATACATTCAGTCAGACTCTGAGTTTACACTTGAGTATGTTAGTGATGGGTGGCAGAGCGATGCAAGTCAGGCTCTGATGGATGCACCCGTTAAGCTGCAGGCTATCAATCAGCTCCAGCTGATTCTGATGTGGCTCCACCGTGTGCTGTGGCCCAGGGTGGAGAAGGGAGAGTCAGCTGTTTCCTGCTGCCTCAGTGTGGGCATTGGCCAGCCAGTTCATCACAGATGCACAGCCTCTTACCTCTGCACCAGTGTTGTGTCTGGGGAAAGCAACAGGCTGGAAAAACAGATTGGCTGTATTTGGATAATGAGACATGCTCCTCTCTGGCCAAGAGTCCAGCAAGCGAAATACACAAATAAACAACTATTTAAAGGTCCCCTATTATACTGTTTTTCATCAATGTATTATAGGTCTCAGTTATATACAAAACATGTCTCTGAAGTGTTTGGCTCGAAATACCAAACAGATCATTGTAGCATCCCATAATCCCCTCTGTTTCAGCCCTGTTTCAAAAGTGCTGATTCTCTGTCTGTTACTTTAGATGAAAATAAGGAGCCCCTCCCCACGCCCCTCTGCGAAATGGTGCTCTAGGAAGGGGGGGGGGGGGTTACCTTGGTTGGTGATTGGCTAATGGTTACACAAGCCGAAAAATCGTTATGACATCATAAAGTGGCCAAAATCTGATCAGCTCATTTTCAGACAGGATTTTATATAAATGGATCAGGACAAAAAGAGAGAGAATCTTTTTTTCTTGAAACTTTCAGAATCTCTTTACACAGAGGGGACACATGTTGATGTAAAGTGGATTTTGTATAATAGGTGACCTTAATAAAAATAAAAATAAGTAAGGTGCTGCAATAATAGTCAGAGTCTTTCGTTAGTGAAGGGCAGAGATCTATTTCTCTCTCTCCCTCTCCTCACTAAAAGCTGCAATTTGATTTGAATTAGATGCCCAATATCATGAAAAATGACACTCTTGGTTTGATTCCCTATATCCATAATTATCTAGGCTGCAACAACCTGATCGATCGCAGACTCAATGGGTCACACTGTTATCTACTGCAGCCCTCCTGATCTCATAAGACCTGATGAGAATTGATTTAGCTATTTATCATAATACTGACATGTCGCCAACCCACCATTACAATATCTGACTCAAACACACTCGTGGAGAATATGAGCTGTCCATATCAGACTGTGTATCATCAATAGCAATCCACTCTCTCAATGGAAGGACCTTCATTCAGAGATTCAACCTTGAAGGAAATGATCTACAGAGATGGTAAGAGCATGTTGAGTTTTATAATGGAGCATCAACTACTGACTGATGTTACACAGAGACAGGAGTCGCCAGTGACTAACAAACAAGTCTGGAGTTACACCACCATCTAGTGGGGATTTCTAGTACACACAGAAACACACACAAACAGAGACAGTGTAAATCCAAGAACATAATTGGTAAGCGATGAACAAAGAAAACATTTATTTGTATAACAACGAAATCACCAGCAAAACAAGCAATTTCAAAATCAGATTTGTACCAACTGCAACCTGCTGTTAACTCTCTGTTTAAATGGTACTAGCTTTGGCTGTAACTTCTCATCTGATGCTTCATGTGGTGAGATGTGATGTACTGTATGTTTTAGCCATCTCCTGTTGTTTAACATTATGCATGTGTACCGCTCTAAGAGATATAAATTACCTGCATTAAAGTGTACATTAAATCATAACACTTTAATGTTTCGGTTTGATAATCAATAGCATACTTTGAGCCACTTTAAAGCCCACGGTTTAAGTCAACAAGAGCTAGAGTAATATGTTGAAAGGGCAAGGGTTGCTGACCTGCTGAATGTTGACTGCAGCTCTGGAGGAAAACTAACACCTGCATGTTTGGCAAAGAACATCATCTACTGGGAAACACCAGGAATACATTACCCGGAAAGTCAGGCTCGACAACTTAGTCTGATTAAATTAAATGATTAATCATTATCTCCATTAATTGTTTAATCTATACAATTGTATGAGACAAAAGTAGTGCCTTAAAATGTCTTTCTTTGTGAGTCTAAATAACCTATTAAGTGTATTGTATATACCAGCCAAAAGCAAAGAAACTCAATACTGAAAACAGCATTTCTTCCCATTATTTTATGAAAACATTACGTTAGCTCTACTGTAAATTAATTGTAGGATAGTGGGTGATGCAACGCACATACGAGTAGCATTTCACTGCAACAAAGGATCCAGTTTGACCTAATAAGAAGTATTAGTACCAAAGTCAGCTAGCTCATATGTTTAACTGTTCCTGATTACGGGTGATACATTTTCATATCAGACATTTCAGATTGATGACTCTTCCACATTTCCTACTGATACATACATACAGAACAACTTTTATTAGAACAAAATAAAAGACATATTTCATAAAATTCTTTATTTATAAACTTGATGCAAGTTTACAAATTACTTTACATGGTCAAAATCACCCTTGCAATGAAAAAAAAAAAAATGGAACCAAACCAAAGCATGCTAACAGTGCATAACTTTATAACCCGGCCACTGCAGTTAATGAAGCAAGGTAAAGAACCCAGAATCAGGCTAACTCACACCTCAGACCAATATGTGGCTCGCCAAGCAGAGAAGGTTTCTGTTAGTCAGACGACAGGAGTCGGTGTGAGAGAAGCTGAGAGACTCAGTGCACTACAGACTCGGAGTACACCATTATTCCAAAGGTCAGGTTCAAGATGTGGGCTAACAATTGTTCAGATGGCACACAAATCTGCTACTTTAGTTGGGAATCCTGGCATCTTTAAAAGGTGATCCAAGCAGCCAGGATGTCTCGTAAGCCCGAGTGTCTCAGAGTATCTGACCTGGTTCAGTAAGCGGCACACAGGGATAAATCCCCCTGTGCACTGATGTAGGAAACCACAAGTAAACAATTATGAAAAAACGGATACATCTAGTCTTATTACCACCCTAACCCACCACTCTTTGCCTTCAGTAGCTTGGGGAAAAACACCCATTGATATATTGACATGCAAAATACAGCAATATCAAAGAGACAAGGGTCGATGTGTCGTGAAACCCCTCGTCAAGCGCAGGTTAATCTGAGGGCGAGAGCGAAAACCCTGCTCATTCCAAAAAATTGCTTAATAATTATTATACCTCAACGTTTATTCAGAAAGTGTGTGCAATTCGACAGCACTGCGATGCCTCTTGGTTGTTTTAAAATGGCCCAAAGGAAAGATTGACACATTCAATCTTGCATTTCGTGACGAGATTCTGAAGCGATCCTTAGCAAAGTCGAGTGTGCAGAATGTATTCCTGAGTTTGCTTCTCCAGAGAATGCAGGGGTGGGCTCAACAAAGTGACCAGAATGAAGTGATTAGTACATTACCGATGGCATCACAACAGCTAACAACCATGCCGATGATCCATACTCGTGTCCGGCTATTTTATTTTTTTGCTTGAAGAGGTGAAGTGACACTCGTTATTCATATCCTGCAAGTCGTCCGACATGTGCTGAATACGATGTTTCATACCCATCTCTACCTGTTTCCAAAATACTGGTGTTGTGACTGGGGTTAGTATCACTGAGGAAATTCTAAATCAACTGAGGAATGACCGCATGAATTAGCATAACTAAGCTTTCTATGCTGGTTTTCAGGACAATATACTTAAAACAATGCAAGTAACCACACAATAGAACACCCACAACAAACGTGTAACTGCATTATTTGGAATGCTCCACACAGTTTTCTGCATATTATTCACATTACATCAAAGACCCAGCGCGCTGAGGGGTACAGCGGCGCTGAGAGTGGTTATGAATAGTAACCAGAGAGGTGGTAATGGGAAGAGCTGGGACCCTCCCGTGGCAAATCTGAACAAATAATTATCAAACCTACACAAATATTCTGGAAAACGGAACAGAGTCCAGTCGATCTTCCCAGGTGAAGCCAGAAGGTATGCGGTCGAGACTATTGCTGTGAATTTGAAAACTCTGGCTGCATTTAAACAAAAAGACGAAGAAAGAAAACAGCCATGAAGTCAAGGAAAAGTCAGAAGGACAAAAGGTCACTTTTTCCTCCAGACTGTAAGGACTGCAGGATTGGCAAAGTGCTCAGGATGTGAACCAGCTACAAGAACTAAGCAGGTGACTACACTGTTAAGACTAATTTTCTCCAGTACAACAAAACTCCACAAGACTGTGTCTTCACTGCATAGCCTTACTGAGGTTCATCCGGTTTGAGTGATTAGATACGAGAAGCCAAACCAACAGCTGTGTGTTCATGCCATTATTGTTAGGCTGTTGTAGTAAAGAGGGAGGTGCCATCAAATAAGGGCGAATGGTCCTGTCGATGTTGCCAATAACATGAGGATTACAAATCAATAGTTTAAAACAGAGAAAAAAGAGAGAGAGAACAAAACTGCAGTAGTCATTAAGCTTACATAAGATCACGGTGTACTTTTGTTTCCTTCTGCAAGAGTATCCATGAAGCAACTTTTTCTTATTCTAAAAGGGTCTTGAGAAGTTGCAATGCCCTTGCTGCTAATAGTCAAGGGTATATAGTAATACAGTCTTTGCCCAGTCAAAGACCCAGACAAGGTTACATTATAAACAATTAAATCCTTTTGCAGAAATACAAATTTACATGTTTACACGTGGAGTTAAAATCGACTACATTACTGTGTGATCCAAACCAAACGCGCCCCTGCTTTGCCAGGTTTTTGGGTTGCAAAGCGACGACGCTCCAACCTCTCCTGCAGGGAGACGGAAAGCTGCTGGTTGTGACGATGATGATGAAGACAGTGGTCTCAGCGGGATGCTGTTTGTCATTATGGGCTGTCCCACCCAGCCGGCTAAAGTCTCTTTATCTTCCTCCCAACCTCTGGGCTTTCGAGCTTTAAAAGGATAAGAGGTTTGAAAGCAAGCGAGCCTCAGAAGCGTGTTATTCTAGAAGGAGGGATCTTGGCATTGCGAAGATAATACACGAGCACAATATTACAGATGCCGTCCATGGAGAGAAAGGGAGGTGGTTCTTCCACCAGCATTTAAATGTCCTTCCCAGCCACCACTGCAACATGTCAGGGATCCAGTATGTGTCCCTCAGCCTCACACTCTGCTGGCAGATAAAGCCATGCTGCACCTTTCAACTCTCAGCCAGCAGGTGACCATGGCATGCTCAACACCTCGCCCAAAGGCCGAGTGTGCACGACATTTAGTCCACCAGGAGTATGGAATGAATGTCGCAATGGAAAGAGATTGTATCAGACCACAGATGTACAGAGAGATAAATATCGAGGAGAGTAGCTGATGAGTTTGGATGTGACTTGCAGGTGTGTTTATGTGCTAGTATCTGGGTGGGCACTGAATGAGGAAATTGGTTTGGAGATCAGAACAAAAATGGTTTGCGGGATTAAAACAAAATATATTGGTCGCAAGGAGAAAATAAACAAAGACATGTGGTCCCAGTGCAGGAAAGGCAGGAGTGTTTTAGCCGTCCTCCTTAGGGGGTGTGTACCAGCCTAAATGAAGAAAAAACAACAAGGAATGACTATACAGTAAACAAAAACAACAATGTGGAGTCAACAGGACGCCAGCATTAGCATCATGTAGAAGCTTTTTTAAATTTGCACCATTATTGCCCGGCTTTACCTAAATTTACAACCTTATCTGGTGTTTTCGTTTTGGTAGGGCTTTATAAAACATGTAGTTAGGCTTTGATCTCTCAAATGTCCTACTGCAATTAAATATAGCTCAATATAGCCTGGCAAAAAATAATTTACATGTTTTTACCTGCACTTTTTGTTTTTAAAATGCAGCGTGGTGTAGGTCAAGGACAACAACACACATTGCATTAACGTTATCTTTGTCCAACAGACACAGCAGTGCTGTTTCTCCAATAACATTAAATGACTATGTTGATTCGTTTCTTGCTGGTTCTATTGTCAATTTTGTTTAAAGCTGCATATAAATTGGGTTTGACTGGGCATGTAATGATCTTATTCTGCTCCGCTTGTAAACAGGCGAATATCAATGTTAGTGATCAGAGGCACGAAGCATTCAGATCATTTAGAAGTGTGCCCTGTCTGAGATTGAAACCGAACGAGATATTTTAACAGGTATTTGGTTAGCAGTAAGTATTATAAAAAATAATACAACATCATAGTTGTTGAAGGTAGGGTAGGTAAGAATGGAGAAACCAGCTCGAGTGCGCTAGAATTTGAAAGTACACAACCGGAAAAAATCTGCCCCTTCCTTCAGACTTCCTTACAGAGCCCCTCCTCCAACACACACGAACGCGCACATGACCAATGAGGGCACGAGATAAGTTTGTGCACGAGATGGAAGGCTGACAGGCAGGTAGGCCATCCAGTTATTTTAGCCGGGCCGGCTCAAATGATTGGTCGTGCTTTTTACAGCGCCACGGCTTCCACTTTTTTATGTATTTATTGTCAAAGCATTTAATATATTCATTGCTATCGGGATGTTAAGAGCATTCCATGGAATATAACAAAAAGTGTTTCTGAAGTGAATTACCTACCCCACCTTTAAGACCATAAGGACATTTGTAATCTTTGATAATAAACTAGAGAGTATAGTTAATAACCAGAGCACCCATGTTCTGCTACTTTTCCAACCAACACTAATAAAACCTTTTATATCAGTTCATTATAGATTTATAGGAAATCAAAAATGATGCATTTAAAAAATACCAACACTTAAGAATCCCTGACTACACAGTTTAGGTCATGCAAGCAGGGTTGTTTAAAATACAAACATACATAATGGGTACACTGAGTAACCTATATTCACACTAAAACTGTTAAATATAATGCTTTATAAAAATATTATAATGTCTTTAAACGAAAAGTAGGGATATAATGTGTTTTATAGCAGTGTGGACTATGATACTTGCGAATAGAAAAGTCAGTGAGGGACAATTATGAAGTAATATGATACTTGACCTTATATCTTTTTTAACTGTTTTATAATATATTATGCTTACAATTATAAAACATTTTGAATATTTATGACCATACTGTATTATAAACCGATATAACGCTTTATAAGTATGCTCATAATAGATATTAGACATGGGCGTCATAGGAAGGCCATTTTTATGTATCCATTTTTTTATCAAAAGGCATGTTGTACTGTATGTGCATCGTTGGTATCTATATCATTTACACAGATTGAGTGCAATGATGTTGACTGCATGGATGTAAATGTTGTCCGTGTTGGGTGTACACACACACACACACACACTCGAAAGTAAAGCGATAATGTCTGTCAGCTTTGAAGCATGGGGGATTTGGTTTCAGTAAACAAGGTCAGTAATGCACTCCGTATTAAACTGGAGACAACGACACTCACCGTTCTTTTCGTGGATCTGAACCAGGGATTTGTAGGACTGCTGTGCTCTGGCAAGATTGTACTGGTTCTGCATCAAAAGAAGAAAGAAAATAAATCAAGCTTGGGTTTGTGACCGCAGTGCAGAACAAGAAACAGCAAGGACACACATTTTCTGTAAGCAAAAACATAGCAAAGCAAAAAGATTATTCCTTTCTCTTTATATTCAATAAGGAAAAACCGCACCATTTCATTTCCATTCACTGCAAAGAAAAACACAAGACTTTGTATAATTATATATGATAGAGGTTACTAGTCAAATTCTAGTTACTATATATATATATATATATATATATATATATATTAGGGGGGAATACATTGCCATGAACTCTGCAAAACATTTCCTGGAAGAAGTATTTTACAGGGAACATTCAGCTAAGAGTGCTACCATAATCAAACACTTCCAGTACATTAAAAGCTCAACCAACTTGGATACGAGGCAGGAATAATAGTTTCCCCTTGGCAAAACTCTTTCCAACTTTATTGATCCAAAACATTGTTCATCTTAGTTTTTTTTGTGCCACTTACTCTAACAATCACATCATGTTAGCCTGAGAATACGGTGGCTTACAAGTATTTTTTGTATTTGTATTAACTGTCTAGCTTGCATTATATTCATCTACGGGGGAAATTAGGACTGGCCAACAGACTTTTTTAAAACTTCCCATGTGAAACCAGCCTTAGGCTGGAGCCACACGAAAACGGTAACGCAAACGAACCGAATTCGATATCAAAAAAGTATTCCGTCCACACGCAATAGGCACCAGAAACGTGTCCGTTCACACGAGACCGCTCGAAAGCGCTGGAGACGCTGTAGTACATATGCCGGGCCTGTAAGTGGCGCTGTACTTCTGCCACAAAATACACCAAAAGCAGCGAAGAAGACTTCCCGCGCGAGAGGGGTACAAGTTGCACATGTCTACAGTAACAGCTTATTTACAAAGGAGGCATCTAGAATTTTATGCGAGTACTTTACATGGTTGTGTGTGGGGTTGTGAGCTGCAAAAGTGAAGGTGTCCTACACTAAATAGTGTGCCTGAATGCATCCTGAGCGTACACGGAGGGACAGTGCTGCTTTCACTGCGTGGGCTGTGCTGACTGTCGCAATTCTATAGATTTTGAGGAAGCCGTATTCACCTTTTCATACTTATGTGGAGTTGTTTCAGATTAAGTGCTTAACCCAGGCTGAGACAGGTCATGACACCAGGTTGTTTAACATGTGTTGACTTAATACTCTGGTTTATCCCAGGTTACAGCCATTGATAGAATGTTGTATGAAGAGTCAAGATCATCATACATTATGATATTTTTTACAGTACTTGTTTAGCTTTAACATAACACATGTTCATTTAAATCTCACTGAGTATTTTGCCTCCGACACAACACTGAGCCTTTACTCCTGTTAGCTCTAGTGTATAAACTGTTAATGATCCACTTTTGGTTGACAAAAATACAGATTGCTCTCTGATAAAAAAATAACTCTACTAATGCTAACATTATGCAACAAGACCTTATTGCCCATGGTTCTCCAGGGGGGGGGGGTAATCTGCTGTAAGAGGCATTAGCTAATCAATGAACCTATTACATTTAAAACTATCAAAATATATTAAATATTAAGGAAAAGAAAACATGTTTAAACATAATCCCAGTTGCACATTAAGCTTAACCTGCTTTTATCATATTAGGAAAGGATAAAAACCTAAACACATTAAACTAAAAAACAGTAACACAAACTACTTAAAGTCTACATCAAACATTACTAAAATAGGGTGTGCCTCTATGGACTTATCAAACTCAGAAGCCAGAATAGGGAACATGAAAAGTACTAATGACAGCAGAAAAAAGATAACAATCTAACTAGGCCATTCCAGAAGTGACACGCTGCACCTCCAACCCCGCTCCCATTGAACGAACAAAATAACGCACAACAAGCTTCGGCTGCAGACAGAGAAGACTCTGGTCCTCCATAACATCCATCATGTGAGCTCCACATTATCAAAAGGGAATTTCCTGATTTGAGAACGACACGTCGGGTGCTTTCTCACTTACTTTATTGGCTCCAAACTGCACTCTGGCTTTTCCTTTGACTAAAGTGGCATTGATCTGCATGATGACAGACTCAATGGAATAGGCACTGCTCCAACCCTGCAATAGGAACATCAAAGAGTAACAAATGTAAAACAGATACAAATATAATCCAAAGTTTCAATCTTATATTATTCAGTGCAAATTCACATCCATTTGCACTTGACATACCTGTTTGGTGAGAAGCTCCATGCACAGGGCACCTCCTCCAAGAACATACCTGAAAAAAGGAAAGAGGCCACTTATAAACAGTGTGTTCACATTTCCACTGCAGCGTGTAGCACGGTTTAAGCGTGCCGTGCCAAACCCGGCCCGTTTTTTGTTGCGTTTCCACTAGGGTTAGTTCTGGTTAACGGGTACTGTTTCACAGTTTTCTGGCTCTCTCCGGGCCAACAACCGGGCTGAGTATGCTAAACTAGTGAGAGAATCGCTGGCAAGGGGGCTACAACTACAACAAAATGAACATATTTGACCGTGATTTAATTGTAATACAGGTTTCAAAATGATGCTGAAGTAACAACATACTGATACCGGTTAGTAAAAACCATGAATTAATGCTTTGACAAGTCTGCAGACAGACGGCAGGGGAAAAACCTTTTAAAATGCGTGTTTTCTGAATGGAGATCGGCTAAGCTAACGTTGTAGCTGCTCCGACCGTCCACACTCACAACAACGGCCTACAGACATAAATAAAGCAGCGACTGTATTCACCATGACACAGACAGTCTGTGGTTTGTACTTGTTTAACTTTAGTCTAGTTTCTGAACAGATATGAGGATCTGTGAGCTCTGAGTGCTAACAGCTAACGGCTGATGTTGTTTTTCTGGGGTTCTCATTGAAGAGGACGTCACGGTTCCGCCTACACTGCGTTACTATAGTTACTGCCCCAGCTACTAAACTGTAATGGAAACGCAGCATTAGTCAACCCCAAATAAGAAAATAATCAATTGGGATGGAAAGAGTGAGTATCAGCTAAAAGAACTCACCCTCCGGACAGCACAGGCGAGACCACTCGGACAAACGGTGGATCAAAAGGGAAGTTATCCTGTAAAAATGACCAGCAAAAATAGTAAATGAACAGACTTCAAAAACTACAAAATGGTGTTTCACTTTAATTAATGCAAAGTCAAATGTACTCACTTTATATGAGAAGTTCAGTAAAATGTAATCCATTCCTTCCTTTTCCTTTAGGACTTGTAAATCACTGTGTAAGGGGCTATCTGGATCCACTCTGTTGGTCATTAAATGATGCAATTAGTCAATTTTTATTTATGCCGACATGAAGGAAAGTTAAAAATGAGAGCAGGTCCCGATTACTTACGTCCTTAGTTTGACGTGCCATTCATACAGGCTGTCGTTAACAAGCTCCACTGAATAGATGCCTGAAAAACACATTTAAAAAGAGTTCTCAGAAGTTTCCTAACGCGAGGTTCTGTAAAGCAATTGAATGGAACATTGTTCAAAAGGAAAAGTATTTTAAATGTTCTTTAATTAGCCAATAGCAAGTCAATATACCTATAGCCTTCACTTAAGCATACAAGAGATGGCCGCAAGTAACAGTAGGTTACAAAAAGCATTAGGCACCTTTGGAGTTTTGCATAACTAAACTTAAACATGATGGTTTATTTACTGCAATTAAGGATTGGGAACCAAACTCACTACTTAGTGGAGAGACCCAAACGAACATGTCCGTACTACCGAATTACATTAAATTAATCTTTGTCAAATTTGGGCACCTGAGAGCATATCTTGGTGAGTGAATATGATGCGATGCAGAGAGAGTGAGTCAGCAAGCTGGCGAGCGGATAGTGTGCTTATTAAAAACTCAACACAGACAACGTACGCTGCAGAATTTGTAATGTGAAATGCAAAGCTGTCCAGGGCAACGTGTCTTGGATGTGCTTCCCCTGAGACACTATGGTGTATGTGTCAGTCACGCTCTGCCCTGGAAACAGACTGGATGTCTTAGGGAAGGCTGGGGGAAGGGAGATGGAGGTAAGGACATTAATTTTTCTTTTTGTATGGGGTGTAAAATGAAGTTTAAGTCAAATGAATTACACGTTTGTCATTACAGAGAGTGAAGTATTTAAAATAGGTACCGGTATACAAATACAAGGTACTAAAACTGCTTCAAATGTTAATGGTGCCCAACCCTAATTGCAATGCTTGATGGTAACCACCACTAGTCAATCACACAAAGTGGATAACATCGAGTATTGTGTGCAAGGGTTTGTATATCTTTGCCAGTTTCCAGCGAGACCATATTATTTCCCCTCAGATCTGCACCAAAGCACATTGAACCTTGTCTAAGAGCATACCTGTCTTGTAACTCTGAGACCTGTAGATCTCTCTGAGCTCCTTCATCAGGCGGTCAGACGCTTGCACAGATCCAGACACCGCTCCCTGCGAAGATCAAAACAACAATTCTTAAGAAGAAAGAAAAGAAAAAACACATTTTTTTGCAAGTCACTGTGAGGCAGCGTTTCCACGTCTTGCCGTCATTTGACGCCCTGAACTCGAGCCGAGGGCGTCCAAAAAAATAAATAATTCGAGAGAAGATCGAGAATTTTTATCGCTTGAAATGACGAAAAGGAAAAAGGACAAGGACATCCCTCTGTTGGAGGGGCAAAGGAGTCTGGTGGGATTATTTTCTCCGCCAGCAAAGCGTGTTCCTGTGACGGAAAGTGTACTGCCAGCGAGCCTTGGCGGGGGGGTGCTAGTGGAGCACACGCGTGAACTGCGAAGTTATATCAAAATTCAAGTCACGTGACACGACTTGACGTAGCACACCCCACCCCACCCCAAGTCGTGTCACGTGACATCAAGTCGTGTCACGTGACTTGAATTTTGATATAACTTAAGGAACGGCTCAATTCAAAATTCAAGTCACGTGACACGACTTGACGTCACACACACCACCCCCCCCCCCCCCCTCCTCTCAGCCCTGGTCTGGCGGAAACACTGCTGTGAGGATAAGCCTGTTATCTGTTAGGATATATGACATGATGTTACCAACCATAAGACCTTCACAGAAATATGCACGTTCCTGAATAAAGACTTACGTTTAAGTGGTCCTGCCTCTGGTTCTTCCGGATCTTCTCCAGGATGGCGAGATTCTCCTTCTCAATGCCATCGTCCTCAGATTTCTTCCCATCCACAGGCTCCTCCTCTTTCATCTCATAGTGGTCCAGATCCTCTATGTCCTGTTGGTTCATATTTTATATTTTAGATGTTTTAAATCCTTCATGGTTTTCAAAAAAGCAACACATGCAACAACAGCTTAGGGATCAAAGCCAGTGCCAAGTCAGGAAATAAATAGATATCAAGGACAACTAGGTTATAATCCGGTACCACTTTACAATAAGACTACCCTTATAAAGGATTCATAAAGGGTTTATAATTAGGTTATGAATTAGGCTGTAAACACTTTATTAATCATTAAGAACCATTTATAAACCAGTTCTAACATAGATCATACATCAACACAGGCTCACTATTTGGCAAGATGACTAAGCCTTATATTGTCTACTTAGCGAGAATCAACTCAGTGAACAACAGATACCAAGGATGCTGGCTGATGAAGAACACGAAGTAAGCTAGGTAGCCAATATAAGGCTTAGTCATATTGCCAAATAGTGAGCCCACATGTATCTGTACTGCTAAATCTTATATTGGCTACTTAGCTTACTTCATGTTCTTCATCAGCCAGCATCCTTGGTATCTGTTGTTCACTGAGTTGATTCCCCCCCATCCATCTTATGTTTCTTGGCATCTCTTATGACCATTTATGAATGAGTTACTAACATTTATAGCTGCCAAAATGGAGCCTTGTTGTAAAGTGTAAAACAAATCACCATTTATTAATGAGTTACTACCATTTATAATAAGGCTTAGCAGTACAGATAAATGTGGGCTCACTATTTGGCAAGATGACTAAGCCGTATATTGGCTACTTAGCGAGAATCAACTCAGTGAGCAACAGAAACCAAGGATGCTGGCTGATGAAGGAGACGAAGTAAGCTAAGTAGCCAATATAAGGCTTAGCAGTACAGATAAATGTGGGCTAACTATTTGACAAGCAACCGGTCACAGTTGCCCTGTTTATCTCATGTCTTATAAAAGCGTATTAATGATTTATAAAGTGTTCACAACCTAATTAATAAATGAATTACAAACTATTCGTAAACCCTTTATAAGGGTACTCTTATTGTAAAGTTGTACCTATAATCCAATCAAATGTAAAGACAATAATCATGTGAATATATTGGGGGGAGGATTAGAACAGACATACCAGTCATAATATATTCAAACACTGGCCTTTGTATTTACATATACAATACGAGCATTCAATACTGGCAGACTAAACATTACTCTTGGGTAAGATGCGAGGGAAATACAATATTTTATTACAGGGCATCAAGCCGTAAACACAACTTACCTCTCCCATCTCTTCTTCCTCTTCTTCTTCAGATGTGACCTCTTCTGTCCCATGCTATACAAACACACAAACAAATAATTGAGTCAAGTTGTATAAAGTCCCCTGACAGAGACTCCCACATCTGATTGTTTATTTTTCATAAAACCACATTGTACTGACCCATAACAACAGGAAGAGCATATTGATCAACTTAAGAGAATAACTTCATATAATGCACCAAGGCCCTCTGTAGTGCAGGCTGCTATTGTAATACTCAGCAAAAGTGGTTAGGAAGTGCATAATAAAGACATCCTTAGTTGAATATTGATGCCTTATTTCTTAAAAGTAAACAAATACTGGCCATGTCCTGGTTGTGCAATGGGGACGTATTTCACTCGAGTAAACTATGCAGCATTGCCTTTCGGTCTGGAGCCACGGGCCCCGCAGGCAGGGGCTGGTCCAGCATCTCCACATCTGGATGTTGGGGAAGGTTGTACAGTCGACAGAGGTCACATATGAGTTTCTTCAACTGCTGCAAAAGCTGGGGGAGAGAAACCGCAAAAGACGAGGGGATGCAGAGTTAGATAAACGGGTTAAGATGGCAGATGCAGCTACATCTGCCACGTGGCAGAAATGTGACAGAAAAACTATTGCCGGCATGGTTAAACCATACACCCCAGCATGTGCACTCCGCTCGGCATCAGCCAAACGGCTCGCTGCACCCGCACTGCGAGGGGGACCCAAGTTGCCCATCAGCAAAAACACGTGGGTTTGCTATCCTGGCTCCAAAATGGTGGAATTAGCTCCCCATTGACATCAGGACAGCAGAAAGCCTACACATCTTCCGGCGCAGACTGAAAACTCATCTCTTTCGACTCCACTTCAAGCAATAGAATTACTAACAAAGAATTACTAACAAAGCACTTACATACTAATAAAGGACTGGCTTATCTAAAGCTAGTTGAGTAGCACTCGAAATGTTTTGGCTCTATGAAACCTGATGTACTTATATGATTCTGTTTTCTTCAAGTTTGTATCTTCTTGGTCGAATGCACCTATTGTAAGTCACTTTGAATAAAAGCGTCAGCTAAATGAAATGTAATGAACCATGATAGATTACCAAGTCAATTGTATTTGTACTAGTGCATGCTCAAAATGTGCACATTCAAAATGGGCTGATTGCTTGGACTTTGATTTTCCTGCTGGAAGATTTCTCAAGAATCGATCATACACAAAACTCAACACTTGTATCTTAAACAATATTTACACCCCCTAAGAATGCTTGAGTACCATAGCAATCCTTTGGAGGCAGTAGCTGATATGAACAACAGATAAGTTCAATAGTGTGACATAATATTGTAGTGAGTGATGTAGAAGAGCAAACTGTATACAGCATGCCGTTTGTCAGTTTAAGGCCGGAACATATTTTTAAACCATGTAGTTGCAAAAAATGATTTATTTCTGAGTGCATAATATACTACCAAATCTCCAATCAGAAGCAGAATATGCAAGCCAGCTACATGCACATTTAATAAATAAGACATTTAATAAATAAGTTCTACAGATCTCAAGAGTTCACACTCGACACTGCACTTCCTGCCTCCTCAGCAAAACATCCTCCAAGTGTGAATTCATAGACATGTTGATCTCAAAGGTTGTCCCAATGATCTAATGACTGAGCCATTTGATCTGCTGAAGCACTGCCAGTTCGTATTTAGTTGTACATTTTCCACCCATTACCCAGATACAAAGTCATACACTTTAATGCATCACATGCAAGTAGTTTTTTATGCTTGAACACCCAATAAAAAAGGGATAATCCTTCTAGGTTTGTAAACCTTGTAAATATAACACTACAACTCAACCAGCATCAGTAAATTCTCCTTAACTAATTAAATGTAGCACACATCTTCAAGAATGATGTATAAAATGTTAATAAGTAGTACTAAAACGTTGTGAAATGTAGTCTAGAATATACATTTAAAATCCAATACTAATGTAATGTAGTGTTTAACAAATCTAAAAGATAGCTGGCTTAACTAACCAAAGTTCAGAATAAAGCTGGCTTATTTAACACAACAATTGTCTGCCTCCTATCTATGGAGCTTAACACAGCAGGGTGGCATTATGTCACAATAATGCAAGGAGAATTCTCCTGCTGAGCGGCAGCCTGGTCAATACTCAGCCAAGCACTTTGGTTAAGTCAAATAAAGTGTAGTCTTTTCATTATGCCATACAATACAGACATACTATGACGGCATTATGGTAGCAGCTACATCAACTTTGTTTTAATAAAATCATTATCTTTTAAGTCAGCTGTGGTAAAGACTCTGCTCAATTCTCTTTGTTAACTTGAATGGATCACAAGATAAAGAAAGACACATTTATACTGCTTTGTTGAAGATGCAAAAGTGATTGTGAGGCAAATGAGGGTAGTTCAACCAAATCCCAAGGTTGCATGTTTACTGCAGTGTAATGAAAATCTGTAATAAAACAGTTAAATAATGCTATTTTTATTATTGTATATATAAATAAAACTATAATATTATTGTATGACAATTCCTTATTTAAGAATATCATGCTCATTGAGACAAATAAGGAAAGTAAGGGTTAGTGAATAGTAGTTATTATCACTAATAGTTAGTGATAGTGAAAGTAGAGTAATGTAAACATGTTGCAACCATCCCTGAGGTGTGTGGCAACTGTCCCGAGGGTGGGGTTCGTTGCAACATCTGACTTTTTTTCTTTCAAATGTATATTGTGAGCAATCTATCATATATATTAATATTTAAATTGTAGGGGGAATTAGCACACATATGCAAGTTTAATATATAAATAATATGTTGGTCTGGTCCGAATAATCTCTGAGTATCTCAGATAGATGCAAAAAGGGGTTGCAACTGTCCCCAGTCTCTACTATTGTATGTTTATTGATAAATGTTCACACAAAACATAAATGTTCTGGCAATATTAAGTTATTTTGTCAGGAGATCCTCAGAAATGGTACATACATTGTTGACTGACACAGTGAAAAAAAGAATTAAAAATAACTACCAGGGTGCTGCCTTTTCTCACATCTTCCAACCTCTCCAAAACTTGCGCCAAGCTCGGGTCGTCAGAGTCCACGAACCATATTGGCGGCGTAGATGGATAAGATTCCTAAAGACATGGGACACAGCAAAAGAGAGACAGTTACATCAATAAATGTGAATTATATACACTAGCAGAGGTGGAAGAAGTACTCTTATCTTGTACTTAAGTAAAAGTAGAAATAACAGTGTAGGAATACTCTGTTAAAAGTATAAGTCCTGCCTTGCAAATGCTACATAAGTAAAAGTATAAAACTATTAGCATCAAAATATACTTAAAGTGCCAAAAGTAATAGTACTCATTATGCAGATTGGCCCATTTTCTAATAATATAAATCATGTTTGATTATGATTATTGATCCATTAATGTGTTTAATTACTTTGCAAACAGCAGGGTACCTTATGAATGTTTTTTAAATTGTATTTCCTTTAATTTATCCAAATCTGCAAAGTAACTAAAGGTATTAAATAAATGTAGTGTGTGTAACCTGTGAATTGTAGTGAGGTAGAAGTACAAAGTAGCAATTAAAATGTAATTACCCAAGTAAAGTACGAGTATCTCAAAATGGTACTTAGGAACAGTACTTGAGGACATGTACTTAGTTACTCTACATCTCCGTGTTAACTAGCATGACCTAGTGCTAAACATAGAAATCATTAAATAACGTAACATTTGAAGTGGCGACATTAGCATTCAGAGTGCGGCGTTAGCTAACAGCTACGGGCTTAGCAGCACTGTAAAATGTTGGATTGTCAGAACAACAAACCCCCCCCTCCCCCCCATTAATACTGCGTAGCTACCATTGACACTGGCTTATGAAACTACGCAAAACATGTCCCGCATAGCATCAAATTGCACAGTCCTGATGGTAGACTGCTACCTGGTTAGCTCGTTAACCAGCTAACTTCAGCTAGCTAACAACCCAACAAGGGAAGTGTATAAATCCCCTTACCGTTATATTACAGTGGATTATTAACAGTTTTTCCCCAGTCACATTAAACTGGCAGCTCAGCTCATCAGGCTTCCAGTCAATGATCCTGAAACGTTCGTGATTTGGATCAAAAATGGACTCCAAAAACTTCAGTTCGGCCTTCAGCCCCGACACCGACATCTTCCACGCATCTCCGGCCGGGCCGCTGGGGAGGGGGAGAAGTCGGGACTTAGCTCTTTTTTTAGCTAGCTAAAGCCACAACACAAATGTCAGTAGAAATGTTTTTTTTAAATGTGGGCAAGGAATGGCTGTCTGCCTTGGTTGATGTAGCTTGATACCCAGTACCAGCTATGAGCAACGTCCGGTTTAAATGTCAGCGCAAACGGATAGATTTGCAGATTAAGTTAGCTAACGTTAGCTAGCTTTCAGTTAGCGTTTGAAAACAGCGCAGCGGTTGGCAAGATGCTAGCGGGCGAGCTAGCGAGCTAGTCCGTTGTTGTTGTCTTTCCGTCTATTGTTGTTGTCTGTCTGTGATAACAACACTTTAAGGGCTCTCACTGTGTCCTGTGACCTTCTCCTTCACAGTCCCATCGAGAAGATCTTTATAGATGACTCAACCGGGGAAAGATCACACCATGTCCACGATCTGAACTTATATCCCGCTGTAGAGGGATAGTGTTTTTCATCCCGGTGTACAACTGTAGCTGGCCTCTTGTGGGGTTTAAAGATGGCGTTGTGCAACCTCCCCGTTCCCGCAGAATCCCAGCATACAGCGCGTCAACACATTATTTCAAGGTAAGAAAATAAAGGAAAGTTTTAACAGTGGATAAAATACATAAACAATTTAGCAAAGTGATTTTGTTTTTTTGTTAGGGAGAATTCCAATTTTCAATTTCCTGCATCCTATTTTACATAACCGAATTAAACTGATCCATTATATTTAGGCCTAATTTACCCTGGAAATTATATCTGATGCAGTGTTTATCACAAGTCGGTCTTACTTGATATTGTGACTCAGCAGTCATTCTTAAAAATGATCAGAAAATAATTAGTTGTTCAATTAATTATAAATTGTTACAGAAATGTGCAAAGACCGTCCTTGTCAATGGATTATAGGCTTTGTTTGACTATTTCTATTTAGGCTAGGCTACATCAGTATTGTCTACATATCATTTGATGTATAATTTTCAGTTTAGCATATGAATCCTATTCAGCCTGTATGAGGTTATATAATTCCAACTCATTATACATTAATTGTTAAATATCTTAACAGAAACAAGACACATGTCTGTAACATCTTGTTTACTGGTTTCCTGCACTTAACAGGTTAACATAAAACATAATGCATGTAACCGTGACTATAGGTAACAGATTAATACATAACAAATGTGTTTATATATGTATATGTTACATTCTCCAAGTAGCCAAGATGATGACAATAAACAATAATGGACATGAACAATGAAAATAATGATCATATCAAAGTTTAGCCAGCTTCACAAAATAGTCTTTCTAGGAACAAAAGCAAATGTGATATCCCCATCCAAAATTATTTCATTAGTAAGTCTGTGTGAGCCCAGCCATCTGATTTGTAAAGAAGTAGGCTAATGAATGCATGTTCACTTTTAGAATCAGGATTGTGTGATCTTGGGTTTTGTCTTACAAGGATATATCCCCAATCATAAAATCTGTTTGTTAAATGTTACTTCCTCATGAGTACAGAATATGGCCTTATAAATATTGACCCTAAAGAATTCAATGGCTGTTCAGCCCACATATAATTTCCTTACCGCCTTATGCATACTGGGTTGTAAAAGGAAACAAAGAGGAACATAACAAGCCATATTTCACACATGCCTTCTCTCCTTCTCCCTAAATATAAATAAAAGTGCAGTGTTTTACCAAATCATGTGTGTAGTAGTACCTGGCGCCCACTAGGAGGAAGTGGTGGCTCAAGGTCTGAACAACTGGTTTAGGTTTAGAGATGAATAAGCTTATGAAAACATACTTTCCTTGATACGGTTCTTTACTCACTGGTGACTAGGATTCAGGCTTCATATGCCTACATTTCCCTTTTGTGTATATGTTTCTCTTACAATTTTTACATTATTTTGACAAACAACAAAGGACAAAAGTCTTTTGACAATGTCATTGTTTGTTGGGATCCTTCTTTTAGATTGCTATCTCTTATTCAAATTTGGAAATGCTTGACTTTTAGTTTAAGATTTCATATCTAAAACTGGGCATGGCAAAGATTCTTAAGGAAGCTGATATGTTTTAGTCCTGAAATTAATTAAACAGATTGTGTGAGTTTCAGAGAGAACACCAAACCTTAAAAGCACATTTTAAAAGCCTTTCCCTTTGTGAGTCTGTTATCAGGAGAGATTTGCTGTGCTGTCGCCTCTTATTATGCTATCACAGGGTCTCCCTTTCAACAGTGATAACATCTCTTTAGTTTGGCCTTCCCCAGAGTAGTATTCTGCGATAGACAGTTGAGGACAAAGGCAACTCTCATGAACATTACTGGAAGAAGTTTAGTGCTTAGTGTCTATTTTATTTGTAAATCATACTTCTTACATTCAGCGGATTGAGCAGAGGTATGCAAATGTACAAACTGATCAATCTGTAGCAGTGTGTTGAATGCTGCTTTCAGTTTTTGATATGTGTTTCAGTTTGAGGTCTCCATATTGAGGAACAACATATTGATTTGTCATTTGAAAGGCTCATAAACTAAAAGTGTGGGTAGGAGTGGTTGGCTTGCTTATCAAAACGTGTGCAGGTCGCTGCTGATGTGTATAGACCGAGAGCAGTTTGAGCACTTCCCCTTGACAGCATTGTCGTACGTCTCCACAGTAATTGACAAATTCTTCATTTCACAGTGTACAATATTGCAACTGTGTGCAATAAACTCCAACACTCTACCTGAACTCACTCACTGAGTGTCAGGGACTTTGTTAATGCAATGGTTCCTCAGGAAAGGTCAAGGTTTCCGGTCTAGCAAACACTGTAATTCATTTTGAGGGGGTTTGGGAAGCAAGAGTGGAGGTGGTGTTGTAAAATCAACAATGATAGATGTGGCGAACACAAATTGTGAGCCACATATTGTTTGATTATGTTGTATGCCAATGGGTGCATGACTGAGGGGTTCTAGCTGCCTTTGTGCACTTCTGTACATGTTTATTGTTTGTGCAATGAATCTTGAGAACTCAGAAATCAGTGTTTTGGCCATGACTATTATCATAATGATCAGTTGGTCACAAAGGTTTAAGTGATTTTTGATGGAAATTATTTTGTATTCTGTTTTATATAGTATTATTATATCACAGCCTACTTCTGGATATAAATGTATGTTCTACAGAAATAAGAAAAGACACTTCACTGCATCAGTCACGAGCAGCAGGAGACTTCACAAGAGCTTAAAGTGACGATAAATCACGTTTTGATCAATATTGTATAGTTGGATTATATGACTTACAGACCTGATCATTAAGTATGAAGAATAAGAAATATCCCTTTTAAGTGTTTTTTTAAATTTTTATTTGTAACTAATCTTTCACATTCCTATCAAAATTCCCTTTAAATATTGCTGACCTGTGTTTCCTACTTTCACTAGCAGGTAGATCAATAGGTCTACATCATTGGGGTGTAATTACTCTGCATTGCTTGTTTATTGAGGACACTGTGTTGAGAGACTTGTCCTCTACATGTGTCTACTGTATTGATGTCATGTTATAGAAGATAGCAGCTGTACAACATCCTGCCAAAATCAATTAACCCTTAATATTAAACGTGTTGCACCTTAACACAGCCAGTGAGAGGTTGACTTACTGTCAGACGTATTAATTACACCAGACTATGTCCTCCTCAAGTAAAGTAATCAGTGAAATTTGTGAGTAAATAACAAACCAACAAATACACTATGCGTGTATGTGTGCATGGTAAAATATCATAATTTGTGTTTTTTTGATCAATTGCACCAACAGTATTTCCGTCATTCAAACGAAAGGGAGGATGCAGACAATTGAGGAATGGATTGTAGACCTACAATGATTATTCATAAATATGTAAGGCTGAGTTTATATACATTTTAAACAGAGCATGTCTTCAGGGTTGGCACAAAGGCAAGTGCTAAGGGTCAAGGGTCAGCACAAAATCAAACAAATGTCTTTGGTTGAATCCTGATGGTCTTTTCAGTCGTGTTTTATGATTGAGCATCTGACATGCAGTTTGTCACAGCGGGCATGTGTATGCACTAATAAAGAGGCAGATTGCTGGTGTCCTCTGTGATTGATCCTGCTCTTCCATCCTCCATCTGCACTTGATGAAAAGTTAATTAAAACCCTGCCTTGTCTCTTCATTCCATCCCAGACAGCAAGAGCAAATCATCTCACACCATTTACAGCCTCTATGATTTCTTTATGAACAACACCATAGCTAAGGTCAACATGGGCAGCATGGAGGCTTTACATGCCTTAAAACTCATTATAAGATGTAAATGCACTTTCATGTTTTATTTCCGTCATCCCATTTTGATTCTGACTTACAAATCATTACGTGTGAATAAGAGGTAGGACTTAATTTAACGTTAAAATACCTGGGTTTCCCTTTGCTCCAGTCACATAGAATCAACAGTAAAATACAAGTGAAATTGATCCAACTGATCCCTCTTAAGTCAGAAGTGTTTAGATGTTTAGCTATGGATAGCCAAAGCAGTTGTTTTCATACTGCTGATCCTCCACATGCAGCAGGGCAGTTTGTCAGAGGAGACTGGGCCAATCTCAACAATTGTTTTTATTTTTTTCAAGGAAACAGTAACTGAGACAATGGTTAGCATCCAGACATGGTAGTTGGTTAACACACAGCATTTATCTTTGAAATTAAGTACTACATTGTAATGCTTCTTTGCTCTTCTGGTTAGGTGTTAACTGCATTTCGGTGTCTCAGCTAAGCATATATGATACAGCAGCAAAGCCTTTCTGAAAAGAGACTCTCCTGTTGGCTTTTAAATGTTTAAGCTTTAATAAAGTTGGAAAAGGTCGCTCAGAATACGCTGAAACACGAGCATTGGTTTGAAGGGGGTTTGAAATGGGAGTACGCAATTGTGGCTAAGCCAACATTTTACCAAAGAATAATAATGTTTACACCACTGCCTTCCAAAACATAATTACATTTAAAAAAGCGCCTGTCAATTTCATGGGTCTTGGTCGACTTAAGTGTTTCTCTAATGAGCCCACAGAGGGCAATTACTTTCAAATAATGAATGAAGAGCAAATGTCACCTTGAAGAGCAGTGGCATCGCCAGAAGTGTCTAAACAGTACTTTACTTCATCAGTAAAAAAGTTAAAGCTATGAGTCAGGTTGGAAGTAGACATCTATAGGTGTGACACTTTGTATTCAAAAGCATATTACATTAAAATGTAGGAGGGTAACAGATGCAGCACATTGATGAGTTGTTTTTTATTCAGTTATCAATATTAAGTTTGGAGACAGTGTAGTGAAAACATAACAGCTGCAATATGTGCAAGAAGAATGAGAGAAACAGCTTTAACAACATTGACTTTAATAATGTAGCACATCTTATCAATGATGCTGTGTGATGGTTTTATATCTTGAGTTCCGGTTAGTGTGATGTTCATACCTTGCTCTTTTTATAATAAATCTGTAAGATTCATAAAGTAAAGGTGTTAGAATTGTATTGTGAAATGCCAATAT